GTTCTGTATATATGACAAAGCCCAGGATGAGTCTAGACCTGTGTCCAGTACTGAAGAAGTGTGTGGACTACAGGAGAGACTCTGGACAGGAGAGGTACTGTCACTGACCAGGACAGGCAGTGTGGATTGTTCTGTATATATGACAAAGCCCAGGATGAGTCTAGGAGACCTGTGTCAGAGTCTATCAGCTCTGTGATGTGTCTCTGTGTGTCTCAGTGTTAAACTCCTCTGTCTCTCTCTCTCCAGAGCGCCCCCAGGTGTCTGTCTTCCACAAGGACTCTGGATCTGGCAGTACTGAGCTCACCTGCCTGGCCACGGGCTTCTTCCCCAGAGACATCCTGGTGTCCTGGTGGAGAGACGGACAGGAGCTGCACGAGGATGTGGACAGTGGGGAGGTGGTTCCCAACGGAGACGGGAGCTTCCAGGTCAGGAAGAGGCTGAGAGTGAGAGCAGGAGAGGAGCACAAGTACTCCTGCAGAGTGGATCACACCAGCCTGGAGAAGACTATCGTCCAGCACTGGGGTGAGAGGGGGGGGGGTGTTCAGGGGTGTGGGGTACAGAGGGAGGGAGGCGTGTTCAGGGGTGTGGGGTATAGTCCAGAGACACTGGGGACAGAGGGCTGTGTGGGGTGGGGGGTCAGTAGAGACACTGGGGACGGCGGGCTGTGTGGGGTGGGAGCACTGGTTCGACTCCTGGTCACCAGCAGCTCACACCCGTGGCCTCAGCGTGTGTCCTACACCTGTCAGAGTGACTCAGGCTGGTTGTGTCTCCATCGCAGAGCCCCCCAGTCTGGTGCCGATCATCGCCGCTGTCTGTGCTGTTGTGGCCCTGGCTGTGATCGCTGTTGTGGCTGTGGTCCTGGTGCGCAGGAGGAAGAGCTCAGGTGAGGGGAACAGGAGTCAGCACTGTCACTGTGTGTGATCTGTGCTGTACTGATCTCAGCGTTCATCATGTGTGATCTGTACTGTACTGATCTCAGTGTTCATCATGTGTGATCTGTACTGTACTGATCTCAGCGCTCATCATGTGTGATCTGTACTGTACTGATCTCAGCGCTCATCATGTGTGTGATCTGTACTGTACTGATCTCAGCGCTCATCGTGTGTGTGATCTGTACTGTACTGATCTCAGTGTTCATGTGTGATCTGTACTGTACTGATCTCAGCGTTCATCATGTGTGATCTGTACTGTACTGATCTCAGC